TATATATGTATATATATATATTTATATATGTATATATATATATTTATATATATATATATCTATACCTATATATATATATTTCCATACATATATATTATTATTATTAATAAAAACGTATACACACACTCTTGAAAGAAACATGAATACACATGCACACGATGTAATAATAAAGTATTTGTTGGAATTATAATAAAACTATTGCATTATGATGAATGTAACGCATCTATCCTAGGCAGTATTTCGCATCACAAATTATTTTAACTTCTTTTGTGTGATAACAATTTGGTCGGAAACACGCGCTCTTAAGACTACTGTCCAAAATCCGCACCATAAAGGCAACAGTATAAATACCGCCACTGTGTAAAGCCAGTTCCCATAAATCTGCAACGAACAAATTTAAAATTTTAATCTTATCTAAAAGATTTTAACAAATATTCTTACAAGATTGTCCATCAAAGAATACGTTATGCCATCCATAGTAGCGAAAATAGATTTTATTAATAAATCGTTTGCCGTTAACTCGGGAAATTGTCTAATAGTCAGAATTAACACTATGGTATACACTAATACCAAAGGATTTAAAATAAGACAGTATAATATACTTAGGTTTTTCCGAAAACTTTTGCATTCTTTTATAGGCATATGAATGGCTAGCGGCGCTGTAATAATGCCTAATAAAAAGGCAAGAGCAAAATTTAGGAGTCCCACAACCGCCAAGGTTAGCCCCAATACAATTAGGCAACCAAAATGTAACTCGTGCAAACTTTTTTCAGATAATTTATAGAGAAATGGTAACGTGAGAGCGACAAACACCCAAAATCCCATGAGGAGTGATATGGATTGCGGAGTATTTAAACCTTGTCTGTTAAGGTTAATAACAAGAAAATCTAAAACGGGTCCGTGACAGTACATAGAGGCAAGCATACATATATAAATTGATATTGTTAACGCTGATGTTTGCCCCGAATCCGTAGTTTCAATAAATGCGGTTTGCTCAGCATTTTCTTGCTCAATCTCTAAATCATCTTCGTTGTCGAAGACTGCGTCACCGTTTGCCATCAACCATAATAGAAAGGCTTTGACAAATAGTGGGAAGACTAATAGTATCATACAGGGCATGTAATCGCCAATCGAAACAAAACGATCGTTATGAATAAGTATATAGAAAAAGTAGCTTTGGTGGAATTTTTCCAATAAATTATTGAGGCTACGCGAGATACCTTCAATGGTTTTTAAAAGAGCTAAACCATTGTAACTATGTGCACCGTTGGTATGCCTTCTTACACCCTCCAATGTTAGTGCTTCTATGCGATGACGATGGAAAAGACCATGATTACCGTTTGGTACTCCAGTTGATTGAGTTAATAACATACTAAGCATATTTTTAACGTTATTTTGTAACGTCGAATGATGAGATCTTCGTTTCTTAAAGGTAGTATGCTTATAGCCCGACGTAATACCTTCTCTAGCGGTAATACGTTGCACTACATTGAAAAGATCCAAATTAGGCAGTTGTCCATTAAGTCCTTCAATTTTGACGTCAATAAATTCTGCAATTATGCAAATACCAGAAATAGTATCTACTCTGAAGCATTTGCAAACAAATCTTACCGATGTTTAGGTCCTGTATTTCTAAATTAATAGCAGCTTGCAGGGCACCAGCTCTTCCCGGTAGATAGCCATATTTAAGATGTTTACTTTTCGTTGGGTCCTCACTGAAGTAAGCACTTAGAAAGGCTTCCATACCTAATTGCTCGTGTTCAGTGACAAGAAATATTAAATCTTTAGCCCAGTAATTCTTCTCTAGAATTTAAAGTGCACCATTAGGTAGATAGTCGAATAAATATAAAACAGAACGCACTTCTGGCAAATTCAGCAAATGCTAATAGAACAGGTACGCTTGCTGTTACCTCATTATGGACAGAAGAGGGCAGTCGGTATGGAGCCGAAAACACAATACCTTCGGTGGAACTTGTTCGCGGAGCTCGCAGTATTCCATAAACATTTTTACCTTGAAAAATCTTCCCTTTTGCAAATGGATAAATCAATGTGTAATTGTGCACGTAAACTTCGAGTCCGATTTCTTTCATTTCATGGGAAATCCAAGCATACGGTGTGATTGTTTTGTGTTGCTCACGTTCCCTTTGCAACTTTTCCATGTACAGCTGCATTAAGCGATTGGAATCCTGCTTAATTTCCGGATAGACCAGGCCTTTAATTATATTCCTTATAATATTTTTGTATTTGAATGGCAATGCAAGTCAAATAACTTACCCGGCGATAGAGCATTCTCGGAAAGATATGTACTCTGATTAAAATCTGGGTAAGCTAAACAAAGAAACCATATTATGCTAGCTATGTAACATAGCCAGCATATTTTAGCATGATGTTTAGATAAAAATTTACCAAATTTGTTTTGTGGTGTTAATGAAGGATCCGAAAGAATACCCATAACTCTTTAGATAAAAAATTTATGAAAACTTATCACTTTCACAGAGTAATATAAATAACAAACGTCAGTGCTGTCAAGATTTATGAATTGTTTATTTTTTGAGATACCATAACGGAAAAAAGGAGAATGTGTTAAAAATGTGTTAAACATCTGGCAACAATTGCTGTAAATATAGATATTACAATACATATATATTAACAATTGAAAGATTGGAAATAAGAGAGTAAGTGCAAGTTGATGTTTGCATGCCCTTTTATTAATTGGCAAATTAGTTCGGGCAGCAATTAACACAACCAACGCAAATGGCAAGCCAGGATATAAGCTTTCCTAGAAATAAACAATTTTAATGAACGGAGACAACTTTATAAGAAACGCAAATCTACCCTAATAATAATAATTTTAAAGCTTCTTTCGAAGGGAATGCTTTTCATCTCGCATGCTAGCTTACTTTCGCTTTCTTTTTTTATTATTACATCCTTGCCGTCAAATGAGTATGGCTTAAATTAATGCATTCTCTTTCAATTAATTTCATGCCCCAGAGTTCTCTACCGACGCCAAAATGTACACTTGTAATAACCATCACTTCTTTACTATGCACTTTTAATAATGACCATTAAACTGGGAAAGTGTTAAGCTTATAAGAATGCCGAGGAAGTTAAATTTCGCGGCATATTTATGCAAACTTGTACTTAGTAAATTTGAATTCTTGGCTGATTTCGCTACGTAGGGTTGCTGCACTGCACTAGGGAGTTTTTCGCGTTGATTTATTTCGAAAGACTTTTGTCTTCGGTCTTCCAGAAAATAATAGGGATATATATGGACAGTCCATTACTTACGCTTAGATATTTCTACATCGCACCCCTATATTAACAAATGTTTTGAAAAAATGACAAAAACAAATCATAAAAGTTTTTAACTTTTCCTTCTCTTATTTTATTGATAATCGTTTTCATAGCAACAAATATTAACACGAGCGCAAAATTATATATATTTTTTTATTTTACAATTATTATCAAATATGTAATAGTACTACTATTGAACTTATTCTCTACTTAAATGAAAAGGAAAATTATGCTTTCTTATTAAACTTTCCTACAGGGTTACGTTTAGGTGGACACCATCGTAAATGTGCTGGATCAACGGTAAGTTTTGGTTTTTTAAATTGCGGCAACTGTAAATGTTCCACTACCGTTTTAGGTGTTACACATATGACATGCTGACCCTTCCAATATTTAACCATTTTCATGGACTGTAGCGTGTAAATGATGTCATCGTGCGTTATGCCACTGAGCTCGCTTAGCTCTTTAATGCTTTGTGTTGTGGTACGACAATCTCTCATTAACTCGAGAAGGGTGTACGCCCAATAGCTGCGATAACTAAGACGTCCTAAGTCGGACAATGGTTTCTCCGGACTACCCACAATGCCTTCTCGTCGCGATAATTCATAGCTAAAAGCAATCAAGAGTTTGCCATAACCTTTACGTTGGTAAGGCGGCAATATTAGTATGCAGGCAACATTGTTATTCTCAGGTGATTCCTTTTCCTTGGAAAAATAGCCAACTATATGGGCCCCTCTCTTATCAATTTCACACAAGACATAAAAATAAAACGGTTCCACATCGTAGTAAAGTGTTTTATGGTCCAGAAACAACTTCGCCATAAGACACAGCATTTGACAGTACAGTTTATGTTCTTTGCCGTCTATTTCAAATATGGAAATGGTGCCTTTGCGGTAAATTTCATTGCCCGGTGGTTGCCTCTGTGTACATTCGGATGCATGATAACGGTAAGTTTTTTGGAAACGCATATATTTTAAGCAATATTCGCACACATATAGAGTGCCTACTTTACCATATTCGTCTGGATATGGGCTAAAGTACCAGGTGTCAATTTCGAAACGACCGATACGTAATTTATCTATGTACTTGACTTTGGTAATTGCTTCGTGTTCTTTCTCCAGGGCAGCCGTCGTAGGATCCATTTCAGCATACGTCTTTTGCACATGATTTATTTCGTCGTGTCGTCGTTTTTGATTCCGAGTTAATTTGCGGTCAGTATTTTCTACAGGTGAAGGATTTTCTAAGGACGCAATTTGCTCTTTACTTACTTTACTTAGTTGCTTAATAGTTTTAGCCCCCAAACTGTCCGCAACGTCTTGGCCGATTGCAGTATTGCCGTTTGTTTTAGCGTCGGTGGCATCCGTAATGCGATCTCTCGTCACCCATTCATCCAATCTTCTATTCAAGCCGACATAGTGAACATAATATTCAGCTGACGACTCTATTCCTCTCGATTGTATAATTTGGGCTGCATGGCTGTTGCCGTCACCTCTTCTTATCATGTATACATCACCGATACTAATTTCCATTTCTGCGCTCGGCGCTATTTTGTTGTTGTTAGTATTATGGTTAATGTTTATATCAATTTTTATTTTGTTTAAAGAGCGCTCTGGTGTTTCCTCACGTTGCCTGCGCGTTATTGTTCTCTCTTTTTCGTCAATCTGTTCTTTACCACTATCCTTCTCGGTTCCTTCACTTTCGATGGTCATTATTTATTTCTTTTTCTTTTTTGGTAAATCTTAGAATAATAAAACGAAACCAGTAGACACTTCTTTTTTTTTTTTTGGTATGTTGAACAGAGATGGACTAAGCCAATAGTAAACACTTCAAATAAGAAATAAAATTAATACCACTTTAAATCGTTTATAAACAATTGCTTACGAAAATTAAATGCGACATTAACTTATCAGCAAAGTTGCCTCCTTTTTACTTTATTCCAGGATTACCAACTTTAATTTTTCTGTAGCTTTCAGATGAATGCGGATACTCTAGGAATTAAAGCACATATCATAAAAAATGAATTAAAGAAATTTTTGGTTTTATATTTGGCTACACCATTGCATATGCAGTTTAATTGAAAATCTATTGTTTAATTTCGATAGATCAAAAATTTCTGTCGACTGTTATGTTATATACGTATATATATGCAATAAATGTGAACATTAAAAACTTTGAAGGCAACTCAACTTTTTATTTACTGTATTACACTTGGCCGATATGTGCAAATTATAAGATTTTTTTATCTTTAGGGCATAAGCACATTGGGAGCTGACGCAATAACGTCAAATTTTCGGAATGCTGGCTTTTTACGAGATTTTGTGGAAACTGACAAATCACATGGTTTTGTATCTGTGCAAACTAAATAGAAGCGAACAAACGTACAACAAGAAGAAACTAATACAATTTATTTTAAATTTAAAAGTTATTTATTTATTTTTTGTTTATTTCTTATTCGTTTAAATTTTCTTCATATTATTTGTGATCAATTTTAGGTTTATACTCAATATTATATTATAAGGTTTTGCTACCTCATAATTTTCAAATTTCTTTTATTTTCAATTTAAAATATGTTTTTCAAATTACAACATTTAAGTAATTAATAAATTTTTGATTGATTAATGAAATAAAGAATGATGAAAAATGTGTTAAAAAGAAGGGACATGAAGGGGTACTTCACTGACGCAGTTAAACTAAGCGAAAGAATTGAAAATAAATCGTTTTTATTGCTTATTTTTCATCCCTTATAAAATAGTATATAGCATAAACTGAAATTTCAAATCACTTAATATAAAAAAAAAAAAAATTATATTAGTGCAAAATGAACATAAATTAGATAAATAACTTTTAAATTTACAATAAATTATCTTCATTTCTTCTTCTGTGTATTTGTCTTTTTATTTCATTTGTTTGTGTATCTACAAAATCATATGATTTCGAAATTCCAACAAAGTCTCGTGGGAAGTCGGCAAAGATGGAATAGAAATAACGCATTATTGTTTTGGTCTCCTTATTGTGTTTTCTTTCATTTGGGTTCCATTCTCAGATTTGTGTCTCCCATCGCAACGCTGGTTAAATAATGAATAGATGGATATTAAATCGCTAGGAGAGAATAGGGTTCCTACACTGGTAACAGTTTCATACCACATTTTACGTCTTTACGGTCGTCTTCACACCTATCAGGTTGAAAGACAAGCGGTCGTATTGCATTTTTTGTCTGCTTACTATAAATATCTGCCAAAATAGCAGCCAAGAGAAAAAATCGGACAATGTTTGGCTTAGTTTTCATGGCATGCAAAGTTCAATTGTGCTAAAAAAAAAATAAATAAATTAATTTTTCCAATGCACTTGATGGAAGTAAATAATAATAACACCAAAGATCACAAATGTTATCCTAATCGGTATGCAGTGTGCAGATGTGTGATCTTTGCATTGGGATGAGAATTATGTTACAATGAGAATGGTGTTTGTAGAAAAGAGTTGGGCCTAAATCAGAATCGCGATCCCAATAACAAAATTAATTTTAATAAGAAGAAGAGTAGGTGAGTGTCTTTGCTAGAATTTAATGTCTAGAAAGTATTGGAAATTTTAACAAACTTTGAGTTCTAATTAGTATGAAATTCAAATAATGATATAAAGAACAGTGTCTGGGATAACGATCTTAGGGTAGAAATCGAGTCCCAATTGAAGTTCTAATATAAATTCGATGTGTGATTGCAAAACTAATTGACTTGGAAATGAATGTTGTTCACGATGTTGGGTTTTTAACGTCTCACGCATACTGAAATGCTTATAAGTGATTTTGCGTTTAGATGGATTTGATTATTATGAGAAACTAAGTGTTCAAGTAAAATATGATAACATAAGAAATGTATTTAAATAAAATTTATTTTGGCACTTTATTACACATGTATTGCAGAACCACAGTGAAAAGTCGGCTCAAGGTTATATATGTACATAAGTATTAAAATTTATAATCAAAGATCTTTTCTATTTGTTTCACTATTAGTCATACGTTTAGATATGTATATATATATATATATATATAAATATAAATATAATATATATACGTAACGTTGAAGGAAGAAATTAATTAATAATAACGAATGAGAGCTAAAAGGCAAAGAAATTTTCTTAAATGTAGATTAAATTCATAAGTTATTAGTAATAGTAGAAAAGTGGTGAGCTATTACATAAAGATTTTTACATGGATTACATGTTCACTAGGAAATCGGAAATATTGATACCCATCTTGTTTGAGTTTGAAACGATTCGTAAATGTATATGGATAACGGGAGATGGCTTTGGATTTTTATTTGCTAACATGTCAAATGAAACTAAAGCCGTTTGATTTCTGGGCTGAGGGTTTCACTTGCGATACTCGATATTGCGCACTTTTATAATCGTCGAGCCTGAAGCGGGAGTTTGTTCACGCAGATACTCATCGTAACGTATAATGCCGGCTGTATCTTTATTGATTTCAACCGATGAGCGGGAGTCGAGTGAACGTTTCGGTTGCAATTGATATCGCGAGACTGCTTGAGCTTTATAATCATCATCGGCATGGGAACCGGATCTATAAGTCGTACCTCTATCTTCAAATTGCCGATTCGTAATTTTTGCTTGCCTATCGTTTGTGTAAACTCTTCTCTCTGTCGTTGCGTTAAAATTCTCGTTAGTTCCCAATTTTGTTAGATCTTTCTGGCTACGGCTTATTAAATTTACGATCGAAGGGCTTTTAAGTGCATTTTGTGGTAAAGATTGTTGCTGATCCTTCGTCCACGTATAGAGATGAGGATTGGATTTAATATGCAAATGATCTGAGTAATTGTTATTTGAAGATTTTTCAATATAAATAGGACTAGGTTCGTTGCCTCCGTTCATTGCGTGTATACTGAAGCTTTTACTACGATTCAAATTCTTGGGGTAGGTACGTGCTGGCTTCAGCGGACCCGTTTGTTGATTATTATTGGCTTGATATGTAATGCGTTGTTCAGTTTGTTGACGAGACTTATTTTGAACTGCATTCGAGTTCCGTGCTTTATTCAGTTTTTGTGTTTCGCGATGATTGGTGGTGGGCTGATCATTTAATTTGCGTGGCAAGGTTTGAGCACTACGGTAGTCATGATGTAAATTTGGAGTAGATCCAGAGACACGTTGATTACTTTTCTGATAACGACCTAAAGTATGAGCGGATTGAGTTCTAAAATAATAAATAAAATATTATTAGATCCAATTATTGGATCAATTTGTGCATAATTCCTACCTCTCATTATAATAAGATGTTGAATTATCGCGATTATTCGACAAACCATTTCGCGTTTCCCTTGCTGTTCGAGGATTGGTCATTTCATTTAGATTCTCCTTATAATAAAGACTACTGGAGTACGGATCCTCACCAAGATAATAGCGTTGTTTAGGATTTTTTGTTCCTGCACAAGGTTCACGACTGTTCGCAATCGTCGTTGAATTTCTGTAAACGTTGCTGTCAGCTGCCCGATTTTGCGGAATATGTCTAGGACTATTAGATTGTCGTATGACGGTGAATTCTTGTTCGGAGTCTTCGTGAGAGGGTGACTGATTTGTATTGCCGCCTATATGACCATCAATAACGTTATATTGTTGATAGGTGGTGGTGACCTCTTTCGAATTTCGTTCTGGCTGTTGAGAATTATGCGGAAAAGCAATCGAAAATTCACGTGATTTACCCTTCGATTTTAAACGTAGCTTACGCTCGACACTGGCGGATCTAAATTTGCCAACAAGTTTGCGTAATGAATTGCCAATTGCTTGGCCCATTTTTGTGGATTTATGAGAGGTGACGGTGGAAGTTGAGAGAGTTGAAGGTGTTGTCTGAGTGGTCTGCGTTGACATTACTGCGGATCTGGGTGTGTGATGTCGTATAGTTGTTGGTGGCGGTGACGGCGTGTTACCGGTGAAACGTGTATGTTGGTGCGGTTTTATGTTCAGAGCGGAGCTGCTATCGTGCGGTTGTTTGCTGTAGATATTTTCATGCTTCTCGGACGGTGAATATTTTCGTTGTTGCATATGAAGACGATTCGGATCCTGGGCATAGTAATTCCCCCGAGGTGATGAAGAACGACTACGAGGTGGTGGGGAATAATCTGGTGGCGGCTCAGGAAAATCATGTTGGTCTTGCAAGGATGGCACATTTACAATCGCTGATGTACTGTTCGGTTCACGTAATTTCTTTTCGCCGTTCCGCCTGCGTTGCGGCACAATAGGTCTATTTAACGCACTCATATCGTGGCGTGCCGATGGCGAGATATGATAAGTTGTTTCTCGTTTTAATGAGTTATAATTCTCGTAGACCCTTGTATGATCAGCTGACGTAGACGTCTTTCTGGGTACAATGGCGGGTTCGCGTTCATCTATAACATTCGCATGAATAAATGCACGTTTATCTTTTTCTTTTACGTTGAGACCGTAGTGGAGGTCGGTACGTGAACCACTAATATTATGAGTATCTTCAATCGAATGCGAAGGAACTTTGTCCAATTCTTCGAATTTATCTCTCGAATTTTGACGAGATCTAGCTAAAAATTGTGAAGATATGCTTTGGCGTTTCTGCTGTAATATATCTTCTCGACTAACGTAGCTATCAGCGGTTTTTGTTTTTATATAAGTTGGTTTATCTGTGCCAAGATTTTCTCTCGACGAATATATGTTACTGGCTTTCCGCAATTGACTACGTTCAACTGTCGCATGGAGATCATCACGAAATGCTTTGGACGAGAAATGATTTGATGGGGTTGTGTCTTTACGATTCCAGCTAGAAGTACCATGATAATGTTTACTAGCTCCGTTATTTGGGAGCACCGAAAGGGGCTCCGGGTCGTAACTTTCAGGCGGCGGTCTTTTATCATAGGAACCATAATGGGCAGTGGCTGTCGATGGAGCATTTTGATTTTGATTGGACTTAATTGTAACATTGAAATATGTTTTCTTAGTAGGCTCGACAATGTCAATTTCATCTTCACGTGAATCATTTGAAGCAGTCGATTCACTGCCAAAGTGGGATTCCAACCATTTAATGGTCTCTCCTTTACGCGTCTCTTCTTCTCTGTCAAAGTCCAGAGGTCGTTTAGTTAAGGCGTCTTTTCGATCCATCAATAAGCCGGCTTAAAAACGAATTGATTTAAATAAAATGATTGGCAAATAGAATTTTGAAGAATTCCCGCCGAACTCCGTTGCCTTTCCCCCTTTTCTCATATCAATATCAATATCAATATCAATATCAATATCAATATCAATATCAATAGTTTTAAGAGAGAAGGACAGACAGATAGCACATGGGAATCCTTGCCAATATTTATTGTGTATGTCATACTTTTTTGATGGTGTAAAAAAGCTTTATTATAAGGTCTACGCATCTTCCGCATTCGATCCGATAAACTGTCCCAATCGTCGGGGCGCTCTAAGGTATTATCATTTTCCATTTGCATGGTTTCGGCAGCATATCTCATTTCTGTGCCTACTACTTTCCCATTTTCAATGAGATCCGCATCTTGTTCGTCACGTCGCTTGAAATAACGCTGATTGGCTTCCTTAAATTTATGAAAGAAAAACAAAACAAAATTAAGAAATTAAGAAATTAAGAAATAAAAATCGTAATAATCGTCGTATTCACTTACAACTGTTTTAATATTTTCGTGACTAGCGACGGAATCTTTTTCGGTATCGGATAATTCACGATCAATTATGACTTCGTGTTCGATTGCTCTTTTTTGTTCCGTTATTATTTTTCCATTCTTTTGAGCCAGTGAACGTTTTTGAATGTCTTCCGAATCGATTGTTTTATACGACTTGGTAGTATTGCCTATTATTCGTTTACCCGCTGGTATCGAGTTCTTTTGCAAATCTGAAGAAAGCAAAGCTTCTTCAATATTATCTAGGCCGCTATTAACGACCTTTACAAAAGCCTGCAAATGAACATGTATAACATATAACAGAAGACAAACAAGAAGAAGATGCGTATTATTGTGAAAGGTAACATAAAACCGCTAATAATAAAATAAATCGGTTTCGTAGCCGACTCTTTTCATAATCGTTTGTTTAAAAAGTATTGAGTCTTTGAAATATAAAGTTATCGATATTGGAATATGCTTTAGATAGTCGATTGCATGCGCATTAGTTCAGTGGGCCATTTTCTGCTCATAAATTCGTTTTTATATATATTTCTTTAGTTTTCATACTCAGAAAAGTATCTTATATCAATTCATTCAGATTATTATGCCCGGGCTGTGTTTAGGACCATTTTATACGGTAAGTGTATAAGATCTTTTTAGATTAAATAAATTCCATCAATTTCCGACGAATGATCAAAAATGAATGCGATCTGATCTTAAAGGGTTGATACCCGATACTTTCTTTTTCGAGAAATTTTGAACGTTTGCTTTAAATTGTCTTCGTGCTATACAATCGATCTTAGCAAATTATTATATGGATTGATACGCAGGAAAAAGGGAGCATTAAATTTTTGTTGCTACTGTCAGGCTTCCCTCTTGATATTCCCCCTCCGTTATGATTATGATATTTGCCGTTTGACATAGCAGCAAAGATTGGCAAGTAAAATTTTAATAATTGAAACTCTTTAAGCCCGTTTTGATTCAAATTATTTAGATTCTCGAAGACGTGATCACTACTTATACGATGCTCTTTCTTCGCGTTTACCAAAGTAATTGCCAAACCGGAAGCTATTGATTTTCATCATGTATGCTGCCAGTAAATAGCATGAGTCCAAGCAATATTTACGTCCCCCACTAAGAGTAGGATACGGAAAGTTTTCAACTCCATGCGCATATATAGTTAAGGATTGCTTTAAAAAAAACTGCTTTCAAAACGATTGATTTAAGAATACTCGGCTTAATACTTTTTAGAGTAGATAGTATTTCCATTGTACATGCAGTTATAAGCGATCATTATCTTCTTATATGGTATGAATAAAGACACATGTACATTAAAATGTAAAGTCTATCATCATATTATAAAATTTTTGAATTTCTCTAAATTATTATTGTTATGGTTTTATTTATTTTTTTTTTTACTTTCAACTTGTCAGTGCTTTTGTTTAGAAATATTTTACACGCTTTGAATGTAAAACAAAACGTATCAAACACTAAGGGCGTCTGAGGATCTCTCTCTCTCTCTCTCTCTCTCTATGTTTACGTGCTTTAATTAAATTTCATTTTCTTTAGCAATGTCATATGCAGACGACGGTGAAGTAAATTTTTTGTAAATTTCAAACAATACCAATACACACACACACACACACACACACACACATAAGTAATTATATTTATATATATATATATATATATACATATTTATATATGTATTTATTATGTACGTATGTATGTATATGCTCATATTAATACATACGGGTTTACAGACATGGCAAACGAACTCGTCACTTGTTTCTTCAACTTATTTGATACACATACATACATGCAAAGATAGATGAACGCTATACGCACATTTCTAATGATATGAGAGTGAAAATTCATATGCAGAGAATAAACCGTTATAGTTAGGAAAATAATTTCTTTCTTTTCATATCACTAAACTTCATATAACTTATGCAATTCAAAGGCGAAGACTAAGAAAAGTCGAAAATATTAAAATTTATGTGAGTCGACAATCAATTGTCGCTTGCAAACTATAATGTTTAGCGAACTTTTCAAAGACGTCAAGCTGGGTGAAAGATTCTAATGAAATTGTTAGCAGAAATTAAACTGAATAGTGTTTTGTCGTCTTGTCGGGTTAATGTACGAATTTTTATTTTCCCAAGACTTGTTTGCCTTGGAACATGTTCACCACTATCGCGTTGCACAGAGTAAAACGCGTCCGTCCCCTTCCCTCTGGTTCTCCTTCTCCTTCTTCGTCTCCGTCTCTTTCGCTCTTTCTTTTTCTCTTTCTATTTCACATATTTCTCTAGCGTTTCTTTTTTTTTTTTCTTGCTTTAGTGATTGGGTGTAGTTTTTTTTTTTTTTTTTGCCCGGAGTTTCATGTTTTGCATGCACAGCCTACAAAACTCAATCCGGTGAGCTGTTATTACTACTGCTTTTGTTCTTGTTGTTGGTTATGTGAAGTTCGTTAACATGCTCGCACGCGCATACATTTGTGCTTTAATATACGTGCGCAGGCATTCTTTTTTAAGGTTGATCTGTTACTGTTGAAGGAAATTCTTGTTGTTGTTTTTGTTTTTTGTTTTTTTTTTTTTTGTTTTTTTTAATTCTCTACATACAGTTTTTCAATAATTGACCAAACACTTGGATCAGATAACAGGCCAAGTACGCTGGAACTGGTGTTATGTAGTTATATAATGCTCAAAAGATGGGCATTAAGGCCTAATCGAGAGACTTTACAGAAACCCAAAACAACATTATCATTATTATCAACATCATTATCAATGCTCTCATCAATATCATCGATTAAACTGGTTTATGAGTTTGAATGTGCATTGTATTCACCACTGTTGCTAATATTTCACCACCAATAAATAGAAAGATTTCTATCACAATTATTAAGGACCGGTAAATTAATTGTCGGTTGCGAAACAACGATCACAATAAGGGTGACACTAGGCAAATGATACCTTTTCAAGTTAATTAATCTTTTCTTATATAATTTGAAAACAAAAAAAAAAAAAAAACAAAAGAGAGAGAGAGAGAGCGAGAGAGAGAGAGGGAAAGAGAGAGAAAAAGAGAGAGAGAGAGAGAGAGAGAGAAAGAAGAACAACAATGCAATCCAGAAAAATGAAATATTAAAAATCTATTAAATAATCGGCGATGCTTTGCTCCATTCTTCTTCTTCTTAACAGTGCTGCTGTTAATTTGTTAATCGTTATATTTAATTTTTAACTGTAGCACTGAAGGTAGATAAGCGAAATGTGTAGGTACCTAGACGGTTTATTATATTGAAACTGGAAAAGCAAAAAAAAAAAAAAATGTTATAATACATACATGAGAATATAGCAAGTTTTTTGCTTAAGTCTTTCGTTTTATCACAAATCATTAACTAAATGTTCATTGTGGTACAAGTTTGTTTCTGAACTCTTTTGTTTTCTTCTTCCTAAACAAGTATGTGAGAAATATAAAAACCTCTTATATGCTGACTTTACTGCATGGACAACTCAACAGTTTACGTTATTGTTTTATTATTATTATCATTATATTATTATTATTATCATTATAATGTTTTATATCATGAAAACAAAATGAAAATGAATATAAGCACAAACACTATATATCTATATGTATATATATATATATATATATATATATATATAAAAGAAATTATTCTTAGTTAACCTTTTTTCTTTGGAAATTATGTATCTGTTCTTCACAGATTCCTTTGCCATACGAGTGAATGCTTGTTTTATAATTGAAGCAAATAATACACAAACACATATACAAAGGAAAAACTACATTTAGCGCAGAAGCCTATTCGAAAGCAATCTTACAACTTTACGGCTTGCATGCCAATCACTAACTGAGCTGGAGACCAAAACTAAGTTGCAGCTAACTGCTATGACGCGATTTGCTTTTTGGTTTTTTAATAGCATTCACCAACATATTTGATGATACGAAATCTCAAGAGTTTTTCGTTTGACTCTAACGCTGTCAGCTAAGTGCGAAGTGCGAAGAGAATTTCTATGCACATTATGGCAAGAAATTCTCTTGTCTTTTATAATATGATTTATAAGCTTTTTACCTCATCCGAAAAATCTCCCAAATGTTGAACATCTTCAGTTTCCAGATAATCGTCTCTTTCTTCATGTGATATAACACGTTTCTCATTGATCTCTCTTACCAAGCCATCAGTTGGTGTTGGTACCAATTTTTTTATTATTTTATTACCGTCACTATTGTTATCACTTTTCACTAATTCTCGATTGCCATCGGGAATCATCTTTAATGCAATTTTATTCTTTGCTCCGCCAGCATTTGATTGTTGTTGCTTAACAACCGGTAGACCTAGATCATGTTTCTAATTAAATGAATCAATAACAATCGTTTTCTATTTTAAAGAGTAATTGTTCGTTAAGCGTTCGATATAAGAAATGTACTACCTCAGTGGTTTCAGTCTCTTGTTTATCCGTATCCTCTGTGGTATTTGTGGATACTATTGGACCAGAATCATCAATCACTTTACCATCCTCAAACACAATCTGTCGTTTAACGTGAGTTTCAATTTGGCGTGTTGTTGTGAGTTCGGTTTTTCGTTTCGTTATCCATTCTTCTGTAACGATAAGAACAAGCTTTTTACTATAAAAATGAATTATTTCAATAAAATACTTAATAAACGAAATCGTAGCTTGTCAAAGCAATCCTCGATATAAATGTTGAATTGGTAAGAAAAAAAATACCAAATTGACTCTATCTGTTATCTCTATCTGTCATCGATTTGTATCAATTACTTGTCAAATGTTCGTAATCTAATCTAATGATTCATTAAAAACGCTTAAAATTGTTATTATTACGAACCTAGGATAACCGAGGCACATTAATTAGTTCAACCCTTTGCTCTATCATACAATCGACTTTAAAACATTCTCTTCGTTTTCGCTTATATTAGCAAAAAAAAAAAAAAAAAAAGCATAGCGTGTAAAATATTTATAATAAACTTGACTTTCAATATATTAGCACATATTTATAATTATATGACTAAAAATTGTTCTTCTTAAATAATTAATTTGCTAATTTGTTCGCACTCCGTATAGCAATTGCATGAAAGTAAGTATATATATATATATATATATATATATATATATAACAACAAAAAAAGCAGACTTTTTTTTTTTTTGCTCTTTCCACTTAAAATCTTTGCTTCTAATTTCTGAATAATGAGAGGTAAATATCAAAAATTTTTACAATATAATATTAAGTGTTAGTTGTGAAAGAAGAACAACAAAGAGATCGAGAAAGAAAGAGAAAGAAGGAGGAAGAGTAAAGCAATAAAATTAGAAATTTTGTTTTTCGGATATTTAAGAGAGAATCGTCAAGAAAATACATGAATTAACTTTCTTCCATCCCATTTTGAAATAACCCTAAAAGTATACTCTTTCATAAATTAAAAAGTGAATTATAGAGAACTTGAAATATGTGAAAAAGGCAGAAGAAGTGTTATTGCAAGGCTTTTCCTTGATAAATTGATCTTTTGCTGTTTCGGTTTTCGTTTTTCCAAATTTCTTAGTGAAAAGAAACATATATTCTTAAACTTGGAACTAATTCTCATAATAATAGCGATTTGCGTCATACATTCCGAATCAGAGTAAGGCGAAGGCAAACTAAGATTCATGTATATATGAAATTTGATTTATAGTTTCTTTCTGGTTTTTATAATCAGCACCCGAGTCCTCCTGATGTACAAATACATTTTTGATTAATACCATCTTCTCAAACGGTCCAAGCATGTCCGTCTGTCCATTTGTGTAAACGCTCTTCGCGGTTTTATGTGTTTTTTCTAAAAAAAAAAAAAAAGTTGTTAGTCTCCGCAGATTCATATCATGCGGATTCATATTGAAAATGATCCAAACTGATCCAAAATACACAGTCTACGGTAAAAAATCATTTTTTGCTTTTTTTTTTTTTTTTTGTTTGACTTTTTGCTTATTATTATTTATAAGCTGCAACGTATGGAATTATAAAAAAGAAGCCGCGTATACTTTCTAGCTGATCGTAACGTGCCTGCACCAAAAGGACAAAAAAAAAAAAAAAAAAATGGGCACATTTATCCATAGTTAGAGAGCATTGGGACTTCGATATTCACTTTTTTTGGCCTTTTTTTTATTTGTAACATAAGGGTGATGGGTGCAAGAGATTCTAGAACTACAGTCAAATATAATTTTCATATATGTTCTTAATCGTTTATGGCGTCTCTTACTAGTTACACTAGTAAAAATGCATTTGGAAGATATTTCTCTTAAGGATTTGATCAAGGTCGGACTCTTTTAAATGTGGCAAGCTATTTGGACGAGTCTTGATCCGTACGAAAATTTTGTTGTTGAAAAGTAAATGCCTTTGCAATCAATCTTCCTGTCATGAATGTCAAAACTAGTTAACGGAGTTTGGAATTTGCAATAATAATGGACATAATAAGTGTTGTTTTACTATAATTCGAACCATATTAGAATATATGATAATTTCGGGATATAATATATGATATGATAATACGGTAGAGCGTGCAATTGGGCACACACGCAATCATCCACTAGACTAAAGCTACTCCCTATCTCTTTCTGACCACGTCCAGGAGACAATCTCTGACTGCCTCGTCGTATAAAAAACAAAAACAAAACAAAAATTGAGAAAAATTACAGATGACTATTACAGCTCACGGTTTTATCATAATTTTCTTTATACCCTTACCATTCCCTTACCATTAGTTGGCGATTTACAATTGTTTTACTGATTCCAAATCCGGATTTCGTATATAGAGTCACAAAGCATCTACAACTTGTAAACAAATGGTTGAAATGTCATGATGTCGTCACACATTTCGTTTGAAGGTTGATACTATGTAAAAATTATACGATTTCGTCAACATTCGTCCCACATTGCTATGTTATCCTACAAAAATTTTATTGATTGCTCACAAGAGGTGAACTCTAGATTGATTTTAGATGATTTGGAGAAAAAAGAGGAGGAGGTTTAAAGGCTTTTTAGATACTTCTAATTTATAGGCGGTGTGTGTTCAAAACAAAGGTGACTTTTCAATTTTCTCGAAAAATATTTATTTGTTCATTAGCAATGATTTTGTCCCCTTGAAAGTAAGCCACCCTACATACAATGTACTTGTGTTAGCGCTTTTCTCAAACCTCGAAGCATTTCTGATTTGCGTTTTGTGGTATCGCCTTAAGCTCCTTATCTCCTTAATCGTTGCAAAGCTGCGTTCTTTCATGGGTCTCTTCAATTTTGGGCAGGGCAATAAGTGCGATGAATATCGGTGATTGCATCACGGTGATCACGGTATGGTTTTTGATCAAAAATATAACAACGAAGTAATGACAGGCAATTTCGGAGCAAACTTCATTGCCACACATTGGCGCGAGCTAACCGTTAATGCCCGACATCCTTCATAAGAATTTTCTTTGCTGCTTCAACATTTTGATCGGTTGTTAACGTGCTGGTATGTCCAGGCCGGGCACCACCATTAGCATCTTCTTAGAGTTCTACGAAGAGCTTGTATCACTTGCAAACATTTTTTATGCTCAAAACCAGTCGCGCCGAATACCACACGGTCAACATTTTAAGTGAGCTGAATCACTTACTTGACTTTGATTTTTCGGACGAAAATTAATTACAGATTCATTGAGTCATTTTCTTCGATAGCAAGAAATCGCCAAGCTGAGCAAAACACGTCTAACCTTTACGTCTGTCAACAACAAATTGAAAATGCAAAATAGCCGATAATGTTAAGATTTGTTTGAGACAAGTGTATAAACAGAACAACAACAAACAAGTTCGAACATCGAATGTACAGAGCCTACGATTTTTGAAAAAGTTCACCTTTTTTTTGAATACTAAGTTCAAATTACACGATTGATAAGATGACTTAGCGTACTATCTACTATTTTTGATTTCTTATACTTTTAAACTTATTTTTTACTTATATTATTTTCCTTTGTGCTAAATTTTTTAATACAAGAAGGGATAAGTGTGTGCAAGAAGTCGGGATATGCGAGGAGGGGAAACAAGGAAGTCTCCAAAAAAGGATTCGAATTTTGATGAACCATTTTATAGTGTTACGAAGTATAATGAAGTTGCAGTATATTGTATGTGTGTATGTATGTGAAAATGCTTTTGCAAAGCCTACGCTGTCAAAAGGATCCCAATGACATAATGATAATATGTTATTGAACTGTCGAAATATAATACCAATGATGCGGAGAAGAAGTCAGCTAACTCGTTGTAAGATTGTTCACTTATTCTCGGACTAACGATCAATAAAAATGTAACCACTTAAGGCGATCTTCTACGAGTTTGCGACAATTTTCGAGTCCCATCTGACTTATCAAGTCAAAGAACTTATAACTTTACGTTGTGTTCCCGCAGTCCAAGAAAGTTCTCTTCGAACGGATATCAAAATTATTAGAAAGTTAAAAACAGTGTTCAACACTCCATCGACAGCTAGGGGTAATCTCAATCGTCGGCATTTAAGCTCATAACAAAAAATGCTGTCACCTTACGATATCGCTATTTGAAAAATACATGTACTCCGAAGTCTAGATCGCAATATAACAATGACTATGGTAAAATTATTCCTCGCTTTAGATTGTAAGCCGTCTAATGTTAGATAAGCGCAAGGCTGTGCTTAACAAGCAGCGATAACACATCTTCATGTAAACTAATACGTAAGAGAATTGAGACTTATGTACATGCAATTATAAATATACTATAATTATATAACTACAACAACTACAAATATAAATATTATCATTTGATTTAATCTCTAGGTATAAGAAAAGATGTCTCTATCTGAACTTAAGATACAGCCATTGGTGAAAAACACCCATGTGCATAAGACGTATTCTCGATGCACTTGTTTATTACACAAAAGCCATATTTTAAAGACAACAATAATTGATGTATTTGACCGTTCAATATATGTGAACGTCTATGTTCATAGATTAAAGATCTCTTTGACGGATGGGAAGTAACTAATTTTTTAGCAAGTCTCCGGGCAAGACAGTTTTAGAGTGTAGAAAGAGATAGGGAGTTATGCACTTTCGATAATGTACACGTTCTTCTGCTCTCTGCTCTCAGCTATGCCACGAACACGAAAACTTGAGTTTCCAACAGCAAGCTAACTAATGCAACCTTTAACTCGACCAATTTTCATAATACTTAACATAAGTTATTGCGTTCGGCAGAGTTTTTTTGTCTTCATCCTTTACAAAGAAAAAATAAATCTCATATAATGAAATACTCATTGCTAGATGATATTTTTCTACTCGCATTCGCAGGGTAAGAAAATTATATTCGATCGTGACCGAATATTTTATATACCCATCACTATTGTCCTTAAAAAGGACTATAATAACTAGACACGATTTTTGTCACATACGCTTGTTGCGGCTGTTGTAGAGATGTCCTATGATCAGTTTAGTTCATTTTCCAATTTCTTTTCGAATTTGTATGTAGGCGATATCGGGGGGAATGTTTACCACATATACCATACAGTTGGGCAGATGAAAAGTTGAATAGACGAACAGACGGACATGCTTAGGTGCGTTCCCA